GTCGAACTTCAGTCGATTGTCGAGCTCGGACTTCCACAACATCAACATAAAAAGCTGATGTGCAGCTGGATCTCCGCCGTACCTCAGGCCATCGGAACCAGCTCGAACCCACAGCGTAAGCCGGGACATCGCCTCTTCTTCAATGAGGTTACAGAATACTACGCTGTCATAGGATTGCTAGTCTGGAACTCGGAGTACGGAGCATGGAAAATGTAAGGCAAGTCCTAGGATCAAATTGGTGTGTTCTTGCACACGAATACGAATGTATTGGTGCGAAATGGGCCGGCAGTAAAAAAAAGGAAAAGAATCCGTCGAAAACGCTTAGGTTAAGGGCTCACTCACCTTCGTAATCGGCTGTGCTAAGGGAATGAGAGACTAAGCGCGGAGAGGAGAGTATGGCGAGAGAGCGCAACAGATGAGAGGGCCAGACAACAGCCTGATAAGAAAAAAATGCAGCTGCAGCAGCTTACTTTGCAAGGCCCTAGCGCTCTTGTCGGTCGATTTCCGTGCACGAGAACCCACATCTGTGATTGTCCTCTAGGGGTCTATCCTACAGACCGAAGGGAATCGTTCACACGACTTCTGCCTTGGGTTGTGCCTTCAAATCTCAATCTGTACGCAGCTGTAGGAGAGCTTCACGTGCTATCAGCAATCCTTTATTGATCAAGGTCTCAGAGAGCATGAAATCCTAACGAAAAAGTTATTTTGCAAATTATAATGAAAACAAAGAGAAAACGAAGTGAAGCTTAGGGATAGCTATTGAAAGCTATCGCGGAAGTATATAAGCAGGTCAAGTTCTGTGCCGCGAGTTTGATAGTTGGAAACTTTTAACGACTGGCCCGAAGTTTCGACCTCTCGTCTTTTTCAGGGGTTTGAAGTAGCCTGGGGCGAAAGTTTTGTTCACAACCCAGCATTCTTGTGAAACATTCGCAAGGCGAACTGCGGCCAAAAACAGCAGTTAACAAACAAAACAAGCTCGGAGCTTTTTGATTCCGATAAAGCTTTTCGATAAAGGATGCGTGGCACTGAAAAATTAAACAAGTCGACCAATAATGCCGAGGTTCCAACAAGGGATAACATGGAGACTATATAAGCAGGATAATTTTTTTAAATCCCTTGAAGATGCTCTAAGTGGTTTCGACTTCGTCCTACAATTGAAATGAAATTTGTAAGTGCTACATTTCATAGGGCACCATCAAAAAGACCTGGTCCTCTCAGATCGTTCCGCTACCAGTTAACAGTCATGGAAATCAAGTTGATCTCAATGGGATTTGAGACGGGATCGAATCGAAACCGCCATGGGTGTGGCAGCGTCGCCACTTGAAACTGTTCTCACTCCGCCCTAACCTGCTTCAGAAATGTCAATATCATAAGTATCACTGATATCGAGTGGCCAACAACATCTTTTGTGTCGGCTGACCATCATTAGTCGACTATTAACTCGGTATTGAGGTAATTATCAGCTCATTAGGGATGCGATCTGTAGCATTAGGTGTCATTGGCCAGACACTTTCATGCAGTCCGTGGAACAGAAAGAGTATACTTTCTAGAAGAACGCACTGATTTCCAGTGTATAAGGAATTTTTTTGATCTTACGATTAGGTGAAAAAAGATTTGACGCTTATGTTCTTGGCCAATAAAATAAATCTTTAGCACTCGTGCCCTTGGAGAGGAAGGACTGGGGGGGGGGTGTGGGAGGTGAGTGAACCTTACAGCACGTGCGACTAATAATAAGCCTTACAACATAGGGAGGAAAGGGATTCTAGGATGTGAAGCAACCATTTGCATGCATTTGAAGGATTGCTCTCTTTTCCTCGACTAAGTGATAGTATCACTTACCAGCAATTGGTGTAATGCCCTGCTGGCTTTGGATGTGCATCTTCCTCCCCACCTACACCTCCAAGGGCACGAGTGCCAAGCTTTTATCAACCGCAGCAATTTACCAGATCCTCCTCAAAACAAGCATGAAAAGATATACCATCTTGGGATCTCCGCGCATAGCTCAATTCTTTTGGATATCTTGTGGCCTACATGAATTGAACTGACGTGACCAAGTTTCGGATTTCATTTATTTTCAAAGGGCTCCCAGAGTTACATTTTTCACGGCGCTATTTTTTGAACAAAAAAGCAATGGCACGAGCAGCTAAAATATTCGCTGATCCTTTTATGCCGAACAGATTTTATTCGAAGCGATACTTTTATTGAGCCGAAAGTTCGATTGATTGGTAGCCTTCAGAAGCCTTAATACCACCAGTACACTAGATGGACTATGTCAAGGTGAGCTAGAAAAGTGTTAAATATCGAGGTCTAATGGATTTCGAGATTAAAAAAGGGTAGGGAACGTTAAGGCCAAATGTGGGCTTCGAAATTGCTTAATGGAGCCGTGAGCTCGAATTTCAAGCGTTTTTCACGGAATCAGGCTTAATCGGCTGCCCAGTACATTATGAAGGGGTGATAATGAAGTGGTTTCGATATATTTGCGGGTTTTCGAATTAAATTATGTAGAGCCATATGACATACGAAATACGCTGGTATAGCACAACGGCAATGGCTAGGAGGGAGTGAATGCAGCTAATATGATATAAGAGCGATTATTGTGGACGGATAATTTTGCCATCTTCGAGGGCAATGGGTCAGGTCGCTCCCTGAATGAAGCGACCACACTCACCTTCGGCTGGTTTGTATGGAATCGTGCACCCACACAATATCTTCGTATAGTTGTGTAGTACTTTGCTTATCCCGGTGGGACAAAAAACCTCGAGTCGTTTTTCGTTACTCACTTACTTAAATATTGTTAGATGCTTAGACGACCCATGCATTTGCTTGGCGGTTGGCCTCGCGCGGGTCCCAGCTTCCCTTGCATCGTTCTCGGTCTTGAGCTTATGTTTCAGAGAACAAACACCTTAAGGGACACAGGATCAAATACGTTGTTGCGATAAGTTAGAGAGTCTGCCCAACAGAATGGTAACGTTGTTTTTCCTTAGAGTCATAGATCTTATTAGTGCCTATTACATGTCGTACACTAAGGGCGATGTCGATTAGCTCGCTTAGCTGTTCCTGTGCCGATGGGACTGGTGACTGGTGAGCGCTCATTCTACGTCTGTTTACGTAGCTTTTTGGGCGGAAAATGTTCAAGATATCAAAGCCGACTCCAGGAACGACAATTGGATTCAGTTTCAACTGAAAGCAGAGATGAAAAGTATGGCAAATTGAAAAAGTATTGAAAAAATGGGCCCAAAATAGGACCAATTATTCTAACTCTTCTCTGGATCCCCTTTTTGGGGTCCACCGACAAAAATTGAGCTTGTTTGAACGGAATGGCCCTGTTGCCTGTCATCCTGCAGAAAAATCATGCCTTTATTGACGCGGCAATAGAGAGGCAAACGGAAGATCTTGGATTTGAAGTGAAATGTTCTTCCAAATGAAAAGCAAATTTTGATGATAACAGGATCATTCGGTGCTTTCCAACTGCCATTCAGTCACTCGAGTGGAAGCTCTCTTTGTCGGTTAAAGGTGCGCTTCCGGCCGTCGATTTAGTCAGACGTTCAGACGTTGGACTAGTCGCGTGCGCAATGGGCGAGTCGCGAGCGAACAATTCGAGCCATGAGCCAGCGATGAATTGGTCACAGTCCAACACTTGCGCCATCTCTCAGCTATTAAGAAGCCTGGCCTCCCTCTACAGTGGGCTTTAATTCAATTTGCTAACAAGAGCGCTTTTTATTCCTACCCCCGACAGGTCACACGTGAAACGCCATGAATAATCAAATCTGAATCGCGTGTGCTTTTGACGCTAAGTATTAACGCCGTTTGATGCCAATCAGGT